GAGCTAAAGCAGAGCAGTGTGAGCTAAGGCAGAGCAGTGTGAGCTAAGGCATAGCAGTGTGAGCTAAGGCAGAGCAGTGTGAGCTAAGGCAGAGCAGTGTGAGCTAAAGCAGAGCAGTGTGAGCTAAGGCAGAGCAGTGTGAGCTAAGGCAGAGCAGTGTGAGCTAAAGCAGAGCAGTGTGAGCTAAGGCAGAGCAGTGTGAGCTAAGGCAGAGCAGTGTGTACCTAGGAAGGCAGCAGTAGAGGGCTGCCAGACGTTTCCACGATCCTGTACCTTATAAGGTTTTGCACCCAATTAAAGGGCTTGCTACACTACATTGGCTCTTCTTCATGTTCATTCATAAGGATGAGAAATTACAAAAATGTACACTGCTGATGAATTTCAGCTTTGAGAGATGTAAGCGTTGAGGCATTATGACAGCCCAGCAATGCAGACACAGCACATCTCTCCCGAGGCGTCCGCCTGCCTCTGGCACCGTCAGACCACATTCTCATCTCTCTGCTGCCATCAAGTGGCCGACTGCTGAAATGACCCGAATCTGCTTCATTTCTCTGCCGATAACCAAATGGCCGATGCTGGTACACAAGCCCAGGGCCTCCCATTAATCATCTGCTTATGTACTGTCTGTGTTTTCACCCATTTTTTTTCTTGCTGTCAGATGAAACTTCACTGTAAGACACTGCCTGATATTCTTAATGCGTTGCTATCACACAGAGTGAGTGAAAGTGGTATGGATTTAGCAATAAGGAGTGAAGAGCGGGAAAAGCAATTAATATAAGGAGAGTTCTGATTGGCTGCCAGCATTTGGACAGGGGCTGCTTGGATGTCCTGTCTGCACAGTGTGTGAATGTTAAGTGAACAGGCCCCTACCTCAAACGGTATCTCAGAGTCCTCGATGATGCCGCCCACAACCAGCAAGCTGTCTGTGCTGATGTCCATGCCTGGGTAGCCCCACTTTACGTCTTCCACCAAAACGCAGTCCACGTAGAGGGCAAGGCTTCCTGCAGACACGGCCACGGACACGCGGTGCCATCCGCCATCTGACAGCACACGCACCGGGAACCTTACGTCAAACATGGGGAAGGTATCATGGAGCCAGGTGGACCACTGCCATTAAACAGTACATTCAGAAAAAGTAACGGAATCTCTGCAGACAGTCACATTATAACACATAGAAAAATATGCTTTATTGAAACAAAACTGGCAGTTAATTACTGTACAAACAAGAGATGATACATATATTTAGGTAACAAGAACAGGAACTTTCTGAATTCTCTTCAGCAACAGAAAATATAAGAAAAAATATATGGGATTTAGGATGATTCCAAGGGCCCCTGAGTGACAGGGGCCCTAAAACATTTCGAGCATAATTGTGGTTGGGAGTCATATATTACATGCTTTCATGGGGGCTAAAATTTCTGGCTGCTCCCCTAATCATACAAAGAAGTATGGCATGCAGGGTAGGGGAGGGGAAGGGAGCTCTCCCCAAGAGGCTTCTCTCCCTGCCTTACTCGTAGAGCCGCTGCTGGGTGGTGATGAACGTGAAGCTATGACCGCTGAGGCGGATCTGCAGCAGGATGTGACTGTGGGGACTCTGCACGGTCAGCAGGGGGCGCTCTTCTGACTGGGAGCTGCGCAGCTGCATCAGCAGACTGAACTCATCGGCAAACCTGCGGAGACACACGGCTCACAGAGGGGTCTTCCAGTGTCACTGACTGCGTGCAAACAGGACTGAACAACAAAAAAGGTTACATAGTGTTTACTACCTCTAAAGCCAACGCATGTGCGTGGGGGCCCTGAGGTTTGGATGCCCCCTATTGGCCACAAACAGTCACTGCACTAAATATTAACTGGACATGTTCCTCATTTAGGAGATGCTGAAGCAGCATGGTCTGCTTATCAGCTGCCTTGCTATGATCTTCTGACTCTGCTAACAAGCACTTCATTTGGTTTTTTAAACATCTGGAGGGGGTGCAGGGGCCCCTGGAGTAACAGGTGACTGAGTCCCCAGAAACAACAAAGCTGCCCCTGACTCTTCCTGTGTGCACTGCAATACCTGGGTCCAAAAGCCTGGTGAGTCGGCAGAGTAACAGCAGCATATTGTCCAATCTGCAGGTTCATGCACTCCTGTGCTCTCGCCGACACAGTGACATTGGTGCTGTTCAGCGCATGCCGTGAGAGGATCTCCAGCAGGTCTATCTCTTCTGGGAGAGAAAGTGGGGGGGATCAGATGGGGTGGCCCTTGGTGTTGCAGGAAGAGACTTCCAGGAGAGGAACACCTCTGCTGGTGTTATACAGTAATACCCCCCCCCCCTTCACGGTCACTCACGCAACCTGGGGGTTTTACATTCTGCAGCGACACTTGGCTGGTTCTCCGTAAAATCAACATTATCTGCCAGTAACGCTCAGTGAGCCTGGGATCTGATGGCCGTGTCCGAAAGGTTGTGTATTTCAGTCCAGTGACTGGCAGAGCATTCATATCACTGACTTGGTTCCGTTACTGCAGTGCGGAGTGCTAACTGCATTCATATCACTGACTTGGTTCTGTTACTGCAGTGCGGAGTGCTAACTGCACTGCTATGGCACAGAATTGAGAACACATGAGCCAGGACTGTTTAACAGCAGCACTCGCATGTGTTCGGAGGGTCCCCTGGGACAGATCCTTCAAAGAGCCCCAGGCACAAACATCAACTAAATATCACCTCCAAGCTGGCTAGAGAACTTCTTGTCAGAAAACATCCTTGGCATCTGATCTCTACATGATAATCCTTATTAATTTATTAAGGAAAAATAAAGGATAAGGTAATTGTTCTCCTGCCTTCTCTTATTTTAATTAAAATGGCTCCCAAACCACATGCAATTGCTACAGGTTCAGTGTGACCTATACTGCATAAGTGGATATGGACAATAGATGGATGTAACTATATATTTCAGAGTAAATGCCAAATAGTTACTTTGCATGTCTGTTTTTCTGTCTGAAATCATTGTCCAGTCACCAAAACTGGCACCAGTAATGACTTCATGACAGAGTACATCTTAATAAACTACTGGGAAATTAATCACTATAACAGAGTGGACATTAAATAAATGTCTTCAATGGCCAACTGTCAATTCAGGTAAATTACTGTAACTTAGCACTTAAATAACTCCCAGGATTTATGTTCAGACATTAATAGCTGTAGGATCGTCAGCTTTTTCACACAACCACAGAAGTATTTGCCCCTGTGTGATTCCCTGAACTTGATTACATTTACTGCTAAAACAACAGCTCAATATGGTTTCTACAGTATTTGGGCTTTAAATATTATTCATTCTTCATTCATTCTGATGAAGATTTTCTGTGTTTGAGAATAGTCTCTTGTGGAATACTATAGCAGGCCTCCTTGGTCAAAGACAGACGGACTGACGTTCTCATGTACATTCTCTGCTACAGAGAATCCATGGTTTCATCTTTAACACGTCTTCCAATCCCTGAAGCAGCTAAGCTTACACAGCCAAGACACTATCACCACGCAAGATTCTACCTACGAAATCCATCTGAGCTTTCCCAACATTAAGGTTTCCCGACAAAAAGATTAAACCTTAACCCTAACCACAGTATGTTCCAGGGCTGTCACTTTTTAACTGAACATTCTTTCACACATGATGTGAGCAATTTATATTCTAACTGTAATTAACCGCCTGGGGCGTTTCTAGCTATTGAAAAATACCGGGGATTGTCAAGTTTACCTGGGGCTTGACTTTTTTATTTTAAAAGAAGACTGGCACAGGGGATAAAATACTCGAGAATATTTCACTGAGCGATCGGACCTAATGAGGCCCATGATTAACCCATTCGAATTTTAAAGTGTCACTGTAACCAATACTGTACGTGCATTAGACCGTTTGTTGCAATTTTGTTGTTTGCAGGCTACGAAGCCCCTAAAATCTCAGGGTGGGAAAATATATTTTTAATAGATTTACGTTCTCTTGCAATACTTTTGCGATCCCCCTACACTTGCCCACTTGCTATTTGCTGTAACATGACAGCAAGGCGAAACCTAAACAACACAGACATGTCCAGTAAAGTGTGCTTTAAGTACGGGCAAATTTTAATTAATATTTCAATGTCTGTGTGTGCACTTCACGTTCAACAGCCCAGGTGTCTTGCTTACAGTCAATGGTGGTGAATGGATCCGCACAGTCCAATAATTAATAAATACGTATAAATACATATGAAAGTTAATGGTGTGCACTGTCCCCCGTAGTTTAATGCTTGAAGCACACTTAACTGGACACGTCTGTATTGTTTAGGGTTATACTTATTAGTCCATTAATTCTATGGTTTGTACTTAAAACGGACACAGTGCTGACATCATTAGCAACGCAAAAGTATTTAAAAATTTTCCCACCCGGATCTATTAGGGGCTCAATACAAAATGTGACGTTGCATGGGCTGTTAATAAAATACTGAAAAGAATGATTCTATTTTTTTGGAGGGGGGTTAGTCACAGGTCTTTGGATAAAATTGAACGAATTGCATTACATTTGAAATTCGTTCGAACTTGATTCGTGAATTAAAGTGTCAGCCCTGGTATGTTTAACAATCTGCAATTTCTGCCTTGTTGGGTTCACTTCTCCCAGCGTCTTACTAACGATAAAGTTAAAACGATTAACCCAACAGTGACCACATAGGTCTCTGGATCTCTATAAGTGGTTCTAGAGCAGGGGTGGCCAATCCTATCCAAAAAGGGCTGTGGCATATGTGGGTCTTCGCTGCAACTCCCTAATTAGATTACTGATTAAAGGACTGATTTGGCTGAAGAGTCAAACTCACACCTGGGTTTGAACAGTATGCAGAAACCTGCACACACACTGGCCCTTTGTGGACAGGATTGCCCACCCCTGTTCTTGAGTATTTTCTGGTTTTCTGGTGGATATTACACCAGTTTACCACTCCAGAAAAGACTTGGCTGATTTACTGACTTTCTCCATTTGAATCATAAGTGTCTGACTGTGGTTAGTAGAGCCCCAGAGTCTCAGAAACAGTTTTAAAATCCTTTCCAGATTTTCATTGTCATCTCCATGAATTTAATTTTTATCATAGCTTGATGATCCTATGGTATCGGCAAATGTTAGCCGTTTCTATTAGATTCAAGTTAAGCAAAGCTTCCCTGATTACTAGAGTATTCAATCAGCAGACCCATATTACCCCTTATTTGGCTTAAATCACCTTGAAACCAAAAACTTTTATCCAAAGTTGGCGTGTGTGATTCCCTTGTACACGAAACAGATGACAGGCACTCCAAACGTTGAACTCTTTTTTTGTTGTCTAACGACCACTTTTCATAATATTAACACCCACAAGAAATCTGATCCAATTCAATGTTAAAATGTTCAGAAATACATACTGTACACATCTTGACACCACATGGGTAACACTGTTCTGTGAAGCAAGTAAGTTTTAATATATTATACTTGGGCTGCTGTCAGATTGGCCTCCCTGGTCTTCTTCATCTCTGCTATAATAGGCAAAGAACATATGCTGTACCCTGGATAAGTGAAAAATACGAGTCCAGTTAGTCTGCACATGTTTCACAGCTGCTGCTGGCACGCTGCAGGTGAGAGGTTTATGGCACTTAAAAAAAAGCCTGCAAAATGAAAAAAACACCAGTATTTGTGTGGAATGAGGTCAGCGCACAGTGATGCAGATGAGGGCAGGTCCATCTGCTATACAGTTACTGCAGTTTCTGATGAACACGGCCGCAGCAGAGATGCCATAGTCTGTTCCTCATAGAACTATATGAGGTATTAATGGGTTTTAAAGATGCAAGAGAGAGAGAAAACGCTCAGCAACTGAATGTGAGATTCAGCTTCAATAGTAAATCCAGCCATCCATCCATCTTCCAACCTATAGGCTATCCCAGGCAGTACAGGACACAAGGTAGGGGTTTAACTTGGATGGGATGCTTTTCTATCACAGGGGACCCATTCAGACACACAACCGTACTCCATGGGCAATTCAGAGATGCTAATTAGTCTAACTGCATGGATTTGGGAACAAACCTGGGTACCTAGAGGAAACCTGCATGACGTGG